AATGTATTCTGCGGACTTCATGTCCTTTAATTGAATTTATTTCCGGCACCTTTGGCTAGCCGGCATTCATCCAACTAAATGACCAGTCGTACCGATGCTTTTCGAAAAAATTAATCATCAATAGAAAATAAACCAAATTCGATTAATAAGCCGTTTAATAGTATGATATATTGAAATTTTTTACATTAATTAAAATTTACGATTATCATAAAATGCAAAAGCACAAAAGAACTTATACACTTGAACAAAAAGCGGCAAGAAATGATGCCAGAAGAAGAAGATTAGCTTCGATGACACCTGAAGAACAATTAAGTTATCGAAATAACGAATCAGCAAAAAGGCAAGATCGGTGAAAACAACGAAATTCTATTAGTGAAAAAGAAAACGCAGACCAAAGTGACGAGGCAAATAGTAATGAACAGACAATTGGTGAACGGATAAATAATGACAAATAGACAAATAGCAATGAACAGACAAATGATAGCGAACATATAAATAATAACGAACAGGCAAATAGTAAAGATAATATGCCTAAACATAATGGTAATATTTATTTACATTACTCTCATTGTAAATCCATAAATTTTATTGAACTTTACTATTTTAGAAAATCAAAATGTTTTATCATTGCTAACATTATATTTTTTAAAAAAATTAAGAACCTAATATGTAGGGCTCCAGCCCTATAAAACGCCGCCGTTTTATTACTAGTATATATACGTCATCTAATTCAAATTAATTCAAACATTTATCAATAGTTCTAATAAATAAATTGTTAGATTTCCCATTATTTTTTGCTTCAGTTACTTTTTCTAAAAGATTAAAAATGAATCAAAGCGTTATTAAAGAATCTCAATTGATTAATTAAATAATGATCATGATAACGCATCACAATTAATGACGACATTTATAGAATTTTTTCATAATATTCTTTACGCTTCCTAAAACCTAATAAAAAATTTTTTTATTAAACCAGCTGCTGAAACTTCAACATCAGTTTCACTGGCTTAGCTTTTTAATGATTTTATCAATTAAATTTTTGTTGCAATAGTAACAGAATCAGCTTATGGAGTCATTAACGAAAATTTCTTTGCGGAAACAAGTAAATTTTTTTTAAAAAAGTTTATAGGCTATATTCAGCAGTTACTAAAAGTATCATAGGTAATACGAAAAAAGTTTCGAAAAAGTTATAACCTTTATTATCTGTTAAATATAGAAAAAACTACCCAAAATCCTTTAGTTTTGTGTCATCTTTGTAGAAAAATTATTGAACAAAAAACAGTAAAGTAGTATTCAAATAGTTTGATTAAAGGTTAAAAGATGGTTTCATTTATTACGTTCATATCAAGGTATCGATTATTTGCTTTAAAAGCTTCGAGCATTAAAAATAATGTAGCTATTTTTTTTAGATCGGTTAGAGAATTCATTGTTTATCATGTAAAAAAAATGCAAAAGCAATTCAATTTCGACTATTAAAAATTTGCCTTGAGTGAGGTGCTTGAGAACATCCATTATACACGTATGGATCTAGCGAACGATCTACTGCGGCTCAGTATGACCCAAGATCACGGTCATGTGCATTTATGGAATTTATTAGATAAATTAGCTTTATTATTATAGCATAAATTAGATTTATGACATTTATGCCATTTATTGTAATACTGAATCTTCTATTATAAATAAAGGCCCTTGGAAAATAAGTTTCGTGCTGCTTACAATTAGCGTCCCTAAATGAAGAATACCTCTTCCCCTTATACCTTTTAAGTACTAGAAATACATACGTCTTAATAAAATACTAAAACCCAGATTTATCACTAAGTGGCATAGTGAAAAGTCTACATTCACATAATTGTCTTGCTCACGTGACTTCGTCTACGATTATTGTCCGGTTGATTCTCAACATACTGAGGACTTCCGTGGATTTTGTTGTCAAACTCTCCCAACGCACCGTGGATAGTTGTGGTTATTGTGTTCCGGTTTGGAAGTCCAAGAGGAAGGACCAAGCCGTGGTTTATTGAATTGATAGTAGATAGAAAACATCCGCTTTAACGTGTAATATTTGGTTCCTGATATAAGTAAAAAGAAGACATATCTACGACCATAATCTCCACTCGCCAAAACTGCCTCTTTCGACTAAGCCGATCGTAAGTTACACAATATTCTAGATTGTGGAGCGACTGACTCGCTGTTTACAGGTGTCAATAGTGATATCAGAAAAATTTTGTAATCAAGTGATTGCTGACAGTTCGGAAGCTATATATTAATTTACAACTATTTTTACTAATAATGAATAAGGATTCTGAGCTTTATCAGAGCGATAAGCATATCTTGAATTAATTTTTATTTCTACTTATGTACATATGTACAATATAAATTTGTTTTTATCAAATTGTCACGCAAAATTATACGGTTATGTGCATGTGCAATTTTATACTTAAAGAGCCGTTGTTTTGAACATGATAAATACGGTTTGGTTTTACTGTAAGCATATCTTAATCAATAATTATAATAAATCGACTCTTTTTATGAATAATACACCCAACTAATACAAATATTACAATGCATACAGTAGCACCGATCACAGATCCAATAATAATTATTTTTGAGTTTGAAGTTTGGTTTTGAGTTGGAGAAGGAGTGAATGAATCAACCCATCTATACTGACCATTTGATATATTGAGGATTCTACTGTGGTATCCATAAGAACACGAAAGTTATTGAAAGGGTATTCACCTAGATACAGTAAATTCAGAAATCCGATAAATCTATGGTCAAATATTAGAGAAATAAACACATCAAAATAGAGTGTAGCTTTGTGGCCGATTGAAAGAAAAGATGGTGCACTTCCAGTCGGAGATATAACTGTCCACACATAGCTTACAGAATTTAGAACTGCTAGACCAGAATATTGATATCCCGTTTGATTGACACCTTCATATATAAGTATACTTTGATTATCAGGTAATAGAGTTGCTGAGTGAGAACTTATGGGGGAATAACTCCATTTTTTGTTGCTACCTAGGAATTGATCGGTTTAATAGAATGCGCAAAAATCAAAAATCAAAATGAATTGATTATAACCCATACAATATTTGTCTATTGATTAGTTTTCGTATCATATACATCAAGCTTTAGATATGGAAATAAAGATACTTCAATTAGTAGATTATTTATTCTTAATTAAAATAATAAATAGACTAATCTGGTGTTAGCTGATTAAAATTTATTCTTCACGACAGCACTATCATTTCTTACCTGCCCTACATCTGAACTAAAAGCACCACCGATCATAATTATTTGTCCATCAGGCAATAAAGTTGCTGTATGAAGTTGACGGCCGAAAATAGGTTGGTTAGGAGTGGGATTTGAAGTCCAAGCAGATTGTTTGATATCATATATGTGCATGGTTCCGTCGCCTTGGGTGGGTGTTGTCAAATCTTAAATATAAATGTTAGTATTGCAGAATGATTTTACGCAAGCTTGTATAAACCGGAATACAGGTGATCCTCATTAATATCAACCCATTTGAATTGGGTTTAAACCATGTTGATAGTGATATTAATGTGAAATCATATTAAAGTTGATATATATGAAGGAATTTTGATATATAATAATTTATAAAAATTTGGTTTGTGGTTTAGATTGATATCAACGAGAGTCACCTGTACTTGTTTAGTAAATTAATCAGAATTTTTCCCAGTCTAATCCCATTCACGTACTTTTTTATGTACTTTTTTCTACTATTTTATATCTACAGTATTATGTTAGGTGATTGAATTCTATATTTAATCTTCAATGTAAAAGATAATGTGTAAAAAAAACGTTCATTTTTTTAAAATACTATAAATATATGAGATCTATGTTATGTGAAAAGCAGAGAATAATCAGTCATATCCTAGATAATTGGGTATAAGCGAAAATTTATTAGGAAAATATAACTGTTGTATTGGTTGCGTAAGCAGCCTATATTGTCAGTCATACTTTCCCAGTAAATTTTCTATTACCCTGAATACAACTATTGCATAAGATTTTCTTTAGTTTTTCCGGCTTATACAAGATCAATATGGTTTAATAAATATTAAATAAATACGTTTTGCCCAATGCCTTATTTCCACCCCAAATATACATTTTCTTATTTGTATGATCAATTACAGAAGTATGCCATTTTCTCATATATGGTGTTGAATTCGTATCTTGAATATAATTTGCATTTACTGAATCCGTTGAAGGTGATTGAATTATATAAAGTTCACGAGCGGGTGTGTAAGCAGAAAAACTATAACCACCCAAAAACATATATATTAGTTGCATCAGAGTTGGCACTAGCTCCACCCCTAGAATCTATATATGTTATGAATTGATATAGAGGTGAAAAACTATAAAATGGCTGCGTCAAGTTAATATAAAAAAAATCATTCATTGTGCCATTAACTCCATATCCACCAAAATAATAGACCCTATTAGATATAAGCTCGGACATGAATTCTGTTCTTGGTACTGGACTGTAAGAACCCGCATTTTCTTCACATTCAAAATTAGAGATTAGAAAAATAGATATCAAAAACAATGAAGTATACATCTCAAAAATAAATATTGAATTTATCTATCGTCTTATTGAAAAATTATTGTGTTATTATTACATGCCGCAAAATCTGAGAGCCTTAATTTAGAATATAAACCCTACTAAAATCCACCTATATAATCTTTTATTTTAAACTCTAACATTAAATCCTTATTCAAGACTAAAAAAAAAAAATCCCAAAAATTTTAAAAATCGTACATCATATAGGTTTTAATCCAATTTCGGCGACATCCTACTTTAACAGGATGTAATACAATCTTATTTTATACGTCTTAGCATTGTTGTAACTGTGGGAGAGACTTGGCTAACATGAGGCCAAATTAGCTCAGGGTTACAAGCATAGGTTATGTGGAATGGATGTTCATTAGAGGATTCGGAATTAATGACAATGGAATTATTAAGGAATACATTTACCTATTTAGTTATTTGGTCGGAACAAAAAAGAATAATTGTTCTTTATTAGTTTAGTCATTGTATTTATACTTTTCAAATTCTAGTGGTCCGAGACCAAAATCTTGGATATCGGTGGTCCTGGACCAAGATCTACGGTCTCAGACCAATATCAGTTGTCCTGGACCAAAATCCATGGTCTCGAACCAAGATCCGTGGTCTCAAACCAAGCACAGCCATACCATATTAATAGCGCTAACAAATATGGTAAAGGATGCTAATACAATATAGAAAATATAACAAAGAAAATTTAAGCCCAAAAATTTTCGTAAAAGCACTAGTATTTTCGTGCATGCTATTGGATCTTTTCTAATACAAAAAATTTCACTCGCCTATGAAGATGAGTAAAGCTGATGTATCACCTATCAGAAGTAACTCGACATGTGGAAAATAGCTAGATGTTTACATTAGAAAATAAAATAACATAAAGTACTAGGGACTCCCGGGTTAAAATAAAAAAAGAAAATATAATAACTATGTGGATTCGTGTTAATCGCTGATTTATTCACGGCATGTGATATGTTGTAACAAGACTTCATATAAGCCTTGTTTACATAATAGAAATAAGACTAGTATTTCCACGCTCTTGTAAATGATAATTGTAGATTATATGATAACTGGCTCGGAACCGGTGATTGTCGATGTGGGGCATACTTGTAACTAAACATGTCATAGAAACTATTTCGGTATTGTTTTTGATACAAAACTGCTGAGTACCTAAGTAGTTTCATATCAAAAATCAATGTCAAAATAGTTTCTATGACATGTATACTTGTAACAACCAACAATTAATGCAATGCTAACCAAATGCTACTTTAAACCTAAACTCCAGCAATGGAAGGCTTCAATCGAAACTTTGTCTGAATAATAATTAGGGTTATGAAAATTTAAGCTCTCGATTATGTCACATGTCTCTAATTCGGAATCACGAGACTAGGTTATTGATTCTATTTTACCAGGTGTTATAGAGCGGAGCATTTATTAATTAGGTTATCAAAACCATTATACTATACATTAACTATATATTAAAATTGAAATTTGCTATTTACTACCAGTGATATTTAAACCAATGAACCAATTATAATTTTGATAGCCTGTTCAAATCACAAGACGTTTTTTTATTTCTCTTGATCACTTTTTCTTATAAATGATATACCCAAGTAATACTAATATTACGATGCATACAATACCACCAATAATAAACACAAAAATAATTAAATTTGTGTTTGAGGTCTGAACATCCGGATTCAAAAGAGTTGGAGGAGGAGTGAATGAATCTACCCATCTATACTAACCATTTGATATATTGAGGATTCTTACTGTGGTATCCATAAGAGAATGAGAGTTATTGATAATGGATTTAACTAGGTACAGTACAGTAAATCCAGAAATCCGATAAATATATGTTCAAATATTAGAGATATAAACCAGTTCATAATATTTACCGAATGCAAAAATTATAACATCAAAATAGAGTGTAGCTTTGTGGCCGATTGAAAGAAAAGATAGTGCACTTCCAGTCGGAGATATAACTGTCCACACATAGCTTACAGAATTCAGAACTGCTAGACCAGAATATTGATATTCTGTTTGATTGACACCGCCATATATAAGTATACTTTGATTATCGAGTAATAGAGTTGCTGAGTGAAAATTAATGGGGGGAATAAATCTATTTTTTGTTGCTACCTAGGAATTGATCAGTTTAATAGAATGCGCAAAAATCAAAAATCAAAATGAATTGATTATAACCCATACAATATTTGTCCATTGATTAGTTTTCGTATCATATACATCAAGCTTTAAATATAGAAATAAAGAAGATACTTCAATTAGTAGATGATTTATTCTTAATTAAAAAAATAAATAGACAAATCTGGTGTTTAGCCGATTAAAATTTATTATTCACGACAGCACTATCATTTCTTACCTGCCCTACATCTGAACTAAAGGCTCCACCAATCATAATTATCCGTCCATCAGGCAATAAAGTTGCTGTATGACGTTGATGACCAAAAATAGGTTGGTTAGAAGTAGAATTTGAAGTCCAGGCAGATTGTTCGATATCATATATGTACATGGTTCCGTCACCTTGGGTGTTGTTGATTCTTAAATAAAAATGTTAGTATTACAGAATGATTTTACGCAAGCTTGTATAAACCGGAATACTTGTTTAGTAATTTAATCAGAATTATTCCCAGTTCACGTAATTTTTTATGTACTTAATTCTACTATCTTATATCTACAGTATTATTTTAGGTGATTGAATATAAATTCATATTTAATCTTCAATGTAAAAGATAATGTGTAAAAAAAAGGATCATTTTTAAAATACTATAAATATATGAATTTATGTTATGTGGGTAGCAGAGAATAATCAGTTATATCTGGATAAGCGAAATTTATTATGAAATATAACTGATATATCAGCTTCGTAAGCAGAGTTATACTTTTCCAGTAAATTTTCTATTGCCCTGAATACAACCATTGCATAAGGTTTTCTAGGCAGACCTTTATAAAAATCCATATACTTACAAGATCTCTAAGAACAAAATTATTATCATGTAAAGGTCTGAGTGCTATTTAATTTCTCCGGCTTATACAAGATTAGTATGTATGAAACTGTTTAATAAATATTAAATAAATACCTGCTGCACAATGACATATTTCCGCCCAAACATACATTTTCTTATTCGTATTATCAATTACAGAAGTATGCCATTTTCTCGAAAACGGTTTGAATCTTGAATATAATTGATTACTGGTTCCGTTGAAAATGGTTGAATTATATAAAGTTCATAAAGTTCATAAGGAGATGGGTCGAAAGACTTATTATAACCACCAAAAACATATATATTATTCCATGGGTACTATGTAACAACCCGTGGTTTTTTGACAAGGTTATTTTTATCGGTCTATATGAAAATCACATGATTTTCATATAGACCGATGCAAAAATAACCTTGTTATAAATACTTAATTTACTGTAAAATATTGTACCATGAAATGAGTTTTTTTTTTATTTATTATTAAAAGAGCATTTTTTCATATATTTATTTAATTATTCAAATAAAGAAATTACATTATTCAATAAAAAAATACATATTTAAAAATGATAGTGAAAATGGTAATGAATTTCTTTAATTTCGTTATCATTATCGTTAGTATCCTTAATGTCTTGGTAAGTTAAAGGCGAAAAACGATTTGAAAGATCGTTTAACGGTGGTCTTGGTTAAGATGATGAACTTGATTGGGTTAATAGTGTTGGAGAAGGCCGGGGAAGACGTGACGGTTTTTTAATAATAGAAGGGACATGAGTAGGTTGATCATTCGATACTTTATAAGGAGGTTTAAACGGTGCATATAGTTTAGACTTTGATTTATAGGATAGTCTTTGAGCTAGTCTTTGGGATGATCTTTTGGATGGTTCCAATGATGATCTTTTGGATGGTTCTGAGAATGATCTTTGGGATGGTTCCGAAGATGATCTTTGGGATGGTTCCGAAGATGATCTTTGGGATAGTTCCGAAGATGATTCTTGGGATGGTTCTAACAATGATCCTTGGGATAGTTCCAACAATGATCCTTGGGATGGTTCCAACAAAAATCTTTGGGATGGTTCCAATAATTCTTGTTCAAGAAATTAGAATAGTAAATAGTTGTAATTGCAAAAAAAAAAAATTTTTTTAATAAAAAAGAAGAATACCTTCTTCATAATCGTATCTGCTTCAAAATTCACATAATTTTGAGCGTCACCAGGAAAATAGCCAAACTCTTCATATAGAATATCATCAAAATCTAAAGGAATTAGCATCGACGTATTCCTAACCTCTGTTCATCATTTCGACTATTATAGGCCTGATTCCTTCTCTACTGTGATGTCCAGAGAACACCATACGTTCGTCCTCTGGATATCCAAGTCCTTAAGCCGTTAAATCGCAGTACGACGTAGCGAATGGTTACAGATTTTACGACCATTGTTGAGATTGATACCGGTAAGTTCTGCAATTTTTGGCATCATGGTATTTAGCTTATTTGTTCCCATCCGGGATTTCTTAAACCAGACACCTTTATTTATATCTATAAAAAAAAAAGAAAAAAAAAGTTAATAACAAAATTTATTACAAAATCGAAATCAAAAAATAAGCGCTTTAAACCCTTTGCTGCCCGTGTAGTTTCCAAGAAAAATGAATCACAGGCATCAACAGGCCGAAAAGAAATCAAATACAAAATATTCTCAATTGGTTTAAAGCGATTATTCACTTGATCAGAAGGAATGGAAATCTTTCGCGCAGAGCTTTTCCCATATTTGTTTCGTTTTAAAGCCCCACGCTGATTGTTTTTTTCATGGTTAAACGTAAGATAAAGCCCACCATCATCACGACGAGAGATATCTTTGAACTTGATTCTTTCGGCGTCGCCACTACAAAGACTACAGAGTAACGACAACCAAAAGAATACTCGTCGTGTCAACTCTTTATTAGTCCCAACTTGCATTGATTTATGGTTGAGTATTTGAGAAATTTTTTCAGCAGTTAATGGTAAGGCTTGATCTGTTTCTCCAAAACCTTTGTTTTGCAGTTTTTTTATTTTACTATCTAATGTTCTCAATGCCTTATTGAAATGATATGAATTCTACAACTTACATGGCCTAATTTCACTGTGTTCTTTTAAATAACGAGCCACAGAAGTGTAGCAGTTATGAATGCTTTTAGCCTTGTAATCTCTTCCATCCAGCTGTTTTAGCCAGGTAAGAAACTTACACAAAAAGTTATCTAATTCTGTTAGTGACTCTATTTCCTCAATCCTTTTTTATACTTTAGGGTTTTACGAAACCTGTCAATGGAGCGTAGCTACTTAGAGGTACACTTGTCTGTATTCTCTACACGTGAAAGCTTTTGCAATTCAAGAACTTCTGCTTCTGTTGGTGCAACGTTATTATTTCTTGTTCTCATTTTTTTTTAAAAAAAAGTGATTGAAAAGATTGATAACGATAGGAAAAAAAGATCAATTTGATTACTAAAATAAGTAGTCAAAATTCTTTATATAGAAAAAGTATAAAATACTAACCGGAAGTTTAATATTAATTACGTAATTCACGGGTTGTACATCGTACCCATTAAATAACAAGAATGAATCACTTATGATAGGTTGGGAAGGTTCTTTGTCTGCATCCTGGTCGAATTGAACAGGAAACTACCGGGTCAAAGAACAATAGTATCATTTGATCCGAGTGTTCGAACTTTCATGACCAGTTATGATCTAGGTGGAAATGTCATCGAATGGGGAAGGTATGATATCAAATATATGTACAGGTTGAAAAACATGTACGACAAGTATTAGAGTGACAGGGACCAAGCAAAAGGTCAAGATAATAAGCGTAAACGTTATCGTCTGAGAAGAAAGATGTGAAAGATTATGGACAAGATCAGGAATCTCGTCAACGAATATCATTATCAACTTGCCAATTATGTCTGCAAGAATTATTGCACGGTCTTGTTACCAAAGTTCGAGAGCCAAGATATGGTGGACAAGACCGATCGAAATATCAGCAAGACGACAGCTTGGATGATGCTGGCATGGTCACCTTATCGCTTTCAACAGTTCCTGCTCCATAAAGCATGAGAGTACAGAACGAAGATCATATTGTATACTGAAGAATATACCAGCAAAACATGTGGTTGTTGCGGAACTCTCAATCGTACTTTGGGTGAAAACAAGATTTTCAATTGCAAAGAATGTGGATTGGACATAGACAGAGATGTCAACGTGGCGAGAAACATCTTGCTCAAATACGTGTCTGAGTCTATGTGACTCGGATGTTGGGACTTGAACCATCATGAGATCCGATGCATTATCTAATGTTTAAACATTATTTATTCATTTAGGATTTAATTTCAAGGGGGTTTATTATTTATACAATCAAATTTTATCATTCTTATGTTTCCCGTATAAACAAATTATCTGGTCCATTTTTACTACTGTTGATTAGTAATCTTTATTGTTTTATTTTCAGAGAAATTAGACAAATTTTACTGAAACTTCAAGAAAAATATGGTAGTGTATTTGAATTATATCTAGGTGTTAATCGTAAAATTATTATCAGAGATCCCAAGTTATTGGATGAAATTTATAATAAAAGTTTGAGCTCTGTATTTCAAAAACGTATTATACCAGGAGCCGTTTCGTTAGGATTGGATGGTAAAGGAACAGTATTCAATAATTCATTTAATTATAAGAAAATTAAACAATTGTTTATTCGTAGTCTTGCAAAAGGTTTAAAAAATTATATCAGGAGTATAGATAATGTTATTAAAAAGATATTTGATGAAAATGATCAGAAAGGAAATTATGAATTGGACTTAAATATTTAGATGCTTGAAATATTTGGTAAGATATTTATCGATATAATACTCGGAGAAACAGGATCAGAAACTATTTTTCAAAAAGTATTATGATTACCAAAGAGAATGGCTTTGTGGTTTAAAATTACTGGTTTGTATTATGTATTACCCATATTAGATATGAATTACTTACCGTTTTTAGATAGGATAAAAGAAAGATTTATTCAAGACGATGGAAATTTTAGAAATGAATTAGATTATTTGATTGATCTAAAGAGAATGAAACTTTAAGAAAAAAATAAAAATATTTTTGATAAAGAAGAAAAAAATGATGATGACGATGTGTTGACAATATTAGTAGATGAAGATATTAAAAATAAGTCATGCAATGTTATGGAAATAGATGATATGAAAATAAATAATAAAAATATCATAAGTTTGTTAAATGAGATGATTAATGGTGGAGTGATTACAACAGTAAATTCCATTAAATTTTTGATATATCAAATATATAAACACTCAGAGGTTAGAGAGAAAGTTTATGATGAAATTAAAAATATTTTTGAGAATGAATCTCATTTGACGAATTATGATGATGTTAATAAGTTAACATATATCGATACGTGTGTTAAAGAATCACTACGTTTAATATCAACTATTCCATTTTTTTCAAGATCTATAATTAGTGGTGGTATTATTTGTAATATGCAATAGAAAGAAGAGCAAGAATTCATCATACATCATAATTACATTTATCTAAATGAAAAATATTGGAATGATCCAAAATCATTCATTCCAGAAAGATTCATTGATGTTAATAATATCGTAAAAAATAGTTATAAACTATTTGGTAATGGAGTTAAAGAATGTCCTGGAAAATATTTACTATCAAAATAGCGTTTATTTTATTTTAAAAAGATACAATATAGAATTAATTGAACCAGAGATTCCCTTAAAGACAAAATTTATATTCGTTAATGAATGCATGGAAATGAAAGTTAGAATTAAACCAAGAAACAAATAAATTTTGATGTATAATTTAAATACGTACAATTTTATTATCGACATGTTATTTACTATACTATTATCATATGACTTCATGAAAGAACCAATCGAAATAAAATTTTTTATAATCTTAAATAACATATTTTTTTTTATTATATAAACTTATTGATAAACTTAAAATCTTAGTTGCTTAATTATACATATATTCAATTCTCTCTTTCTACCATATAAACTTAATTAGTAAATAATATATTACAGAAAATGATAAGGTAAAATATGCTTAATTTAATAATTGATTGTTTAATGAGTCAGATAGATATGATGTTTTGATTTATAAAGAATTGAAATATTTACACATAATCTATACACAACTATTCTTGATTTCCAAAAAACCTTTGAACCCATTGCTTTTTTGTTACCGGTTCCTTTTCAACATCCACTCTATCTTTTAATAATCTTACGATAACCTCCATCACCCGCTTCATGTTTTTACATAACTCTTTTTCTTCCTCCAAACCTTCTTTCAAGACAGATTCAGTAAAACGAATATTAAGAGGATTTTTGCTTGTACAAGATATTTCGTTCGAGGTATAAAGAATGAAATACCATTCTGTAGCTGTTGTAACAATTCCATAGATATAGTTATAGTCGTCCATAAACTCTTCATTTGACTTACGTTTTCTCATACGTTTATTTGCTTGCAATGCACTTTCACATTGGATCAAATTTTGAGCAAACCCCATGACCACCTGATGTAATTTTCCTTCTGTGATACAAATAAGTTCTTCTAGAGCCTTGATCGCATAGTCAACTCTACCGGTACTTTCTTCACCAACAACTTCGAGTTGAGAAGCTAAGGTAAGTTCTTTGTTTGTGATTCTTTTAACAATATAAAGCAAAGCATGAAGAATGGCCGAGATATATTCACAGCACATGGCTTCATTGCTATCGGCAAGTATAGTACCCATATTTCCCAATCTGCATTTTATTTCCCTTATACATTGTTCTAACTCATCATCTTCATCTTTGAGTTGGTAAGTTTCTTAGAAAACGGAATGAAAAAGTTAGCTCAGCTCCGGTGATGTCAAAATACACGTATTATAAACTTACTAGGTGAAAATTAACGTATTGTGCCTATACCATTTCCATCAATATCATATTTTTTCAACACTTCCCTCAAACTTTTGTATGAGGAGAAGGCTTTTAATTTACATTTGCCCAGTTCTTTAACAAAGTCAGCTAGGTCTGAAGCGGGTCCACCTGACATTCCATAACTTTGGAGCTCTTCTTTAGTTGTCTTGAGAAAAGCATAGCCTGTAATTTTTTCCTTTTTGATAATTTTCAAGTCATCATCGTCAAGCACCAAGTCTTTTTCTTTATGTAAGAAATCTATAAGCTCCTTAGTTTTATAATTTCGAACCACCTCAGCTAATGTGGGAACATTTTTTTCTTCTGCTGCAGTGATACTAGTAGAGGTAGAGACTGGTGTATTATCTTCAGAAACAGACATCTGGACATGGTAAAAAAAAAAGTAAGAAAGATCTACGATGATTAACATATATTTCATTATGAGATAATTGAGTTAAATCATTTGTTTTGATTTTCGGACTGATCTGGATTAACCAAATTTCACAATTATAATTGGTTAAAAGTAACAGGCGACTATCGGGTAATCTCATAATGTGCTTGGCCTCATATAATTTTCTTCTACATTATCTCTATTTTTCATGACATTTTCTCATGTAATGACGATATAGTATAATCAATAGAAATTACATAGACAAATCATAAAGATTTTTGTAATTTGACCACAAATCTGCATAATTAACAAATTCAGGACAGAAACTATATTTATTGAATTTGTTTAAAGATTTTAGTAGATATAAGACAAGAGGTCTATTAAACTTTTAGTAGATATGTGATTTAATTAGGCAAACATAATAATTGAGTGATTGTTTCATGTTATATATAATGTAATAATGATAAAGAAATAAAAAAAATCATATCTTTTATAATCAAAATGAAATATTCACAAATTATTTAGTATCTTGGATACCTGTATATAGTGATAAAATAGAATGCACGATTCCTATTGTTAATTTATTAAAATCTAAACAAGCAACTCCTTCTCCTCCTTCTAGACCTATTACAATTGTTGGTGCTGAACAAAGGTCCAATTTACTTTTTTTTTGAAGAAATCATAAAATTTTTGATGAATCTATTTATTTATTGTATCGATTATAGAGGATTTGTTTATGCAAATTATACCAAAATTGAACCACAATGGGCTAAAGTAGTTGCTATTGCCGAACCTATAGAATTTCGAAGGAATAAGATAGTCAAGGTTATTTAAAATTTAAATTTTTGCGATAAATAATTTAGTATAAATTTATTATGATTTTAGTTGAAATGACTATTGTATAATTATCTTAAGGGAAAAAAAAATAAATACTCACGTGAATATTTTCAAATTTTATATATTAACCCTCAAAGTTATTCTTATCGAATATTAAATCATTTAATTAATTTAAAATGGATTTTAACATATTTTCTTTTGTTTTATTATCTTGTTGAATTCTATTCGAAATTTCATGTGTAGGATTCGTTATTTATACAATCAAATTTTATCATTCATATTTTTCTCATGAAAACAAATTACCTGGTCTATTTTCACTACCGTTGATCGGTAATCTCTATTGTTTTATTCGTGAAGAACCAGAAATAATTGGTTTGAAGCTCCAGGAAAAATATGGTAATATTTTTGAATTGTATTTAGGATTCAATCGTAAGATCATTGTTGGAGACATCAAGTTACTTGAAGAAATTTATGTTAAAAGTACAGAATCTTTATTCTATAAGCGTATTATTCCTGGAGTAGATTTGTTAGATATGTCTAATAAAGGAACTGTATTTAATAATGAGATATCTAGTTATAAGAGAAATAAACAATTGTTTGTATATAATCTTGAAAAGGTTGCAAGACAAAATGTTACAAGTATGTGTAATATAGTTGAAAATTTTTTCAAAGATAATAACAAAGAAAATGAGTATGAACTAGATTTTAAGGATTGGATGTTTGATTTATTTAATGAAATATTTATTAGTACAATAATTGGCGAGCAAATATCAAAAATAATTTTTCAAAAGATATCATGATTACCTGGTAGAATGGGTATATGGTTTAAGATTATTATTTTACATTATATTTTTCCTAAATTCGCAATGGATTATTTATCATTTTTAAGTAAATTAAAAGATGGATATATTCAGGAAGCAAAAAGTTTAAAGGAGAATTTAAATCAACAGATAGATTTTAAAAGAGTTAAAATTTCAGAAGAAATTAAACATTCTACTGATATTTTATCATTATTGATTCGTAAAGATATAAATAAAGAGAATATATTAAATATAACTAATGAAATGATAAATGGCAGTGTTATTACGACAACTAATACTATTATATTTTTAGTATATCAAATATATAAAAATCCAAAGGTTAAAGATATTATTTATAGTGAACTTGAAAATGTATTGGGAAGTAAAACATATTTTATGTCATATGACAAAATAAAAGGTCTAAAGTATGTTGATGCATGTGTCAAAAAGTCTTTGTGTCTCATAACAGTTCTTCTATTTTCTTCAAGGTGTATTGCTAGCAATGGTATAATATCTGGTCTGCATTGGAAAGAGAAGCAAGAATTTGTTATTCATCATAATTATATTCACCAGAGTACAAAATATTGGGTTAATCCAAGTTTATTTAAACCAGAAAAATTTATGGTTAATAATATTAGAAAAAATAGGTTTATACCGTTCGGAGGTGGTATTAGAGAATGTCCTGGTAGAAATTTAGCAATATTAGCTATTAAGATAGTTTTAATTAAATTTTTAGATAAATTCGTATTTGAGTTGGTAGAACCCGATAATATTTTAAAACCAGAATTTATGCTTGTTAAAACATGTAAAGAGTTGAAACTGAGAATTAAATCGAGAAATATATAAATAATTATGGCTATTAAATAAAATAATAAGAAAGAATATGTTTAAAATTAGATATTATTATTATATAATGATTTTTATCCAATAATTTAAAATAAAATAATACCCATGTGAGTAATATATAATATATATATATATATAACCCTAAAATTATTTGATGAGTGTAATAATTAATTTTTGAATAAATTAAAATTAATTAAATATGTTTTCTTTTATTATATGGTCTTGTCAGATTTTATTCGAAATTCTATAGGTAGGATTTATTCTCTATATAGTCAAGTTTTATTATTTGTATTTTACGTGAAAAAATAAGTTACCTGGACCATTTCCATTACTATTAGTTGGTAATTTATATTGTTTCGCCTTTAAGGAACTTAGACAAATGTTACTGAAACTCCAAGAAAGATATGGTGGTATATTTGAATTGTATGTTGGAGTTAATCGAAAAATTATAGTTGGAGATTCTAGATTATTAGATGTAATCTATAACAAGAGTTCAGATTCTATATTTCGATATTGTACTATTCCTGGAATGGTTTCGTTAGGTATGGATAGTACAGGAACGGTATTCAATAATCTGTCTAGTTATAAGAAAAATAGACAATTATTTGTTCATATTCTTGCAAAGGGTTCAAAAAAATGTATGATTAATATAATGGATGTTATTAAAAAGGTATTTGATAAAAATGATCAGAGAGAAATTTTTAAATTAGATTTAAATATATGGATGCTTGATATATTTGCCAAAATATTCATGAATATAATTCTTGGGAAAACAATATCAGAGAATATTCTTCGAAGAATATTATATTTACCCAAGAGAATGGCTCTTTGGTTTAAGGTTACTGGTTTGTATTATGTATTACCTAATGGTGTTGTAGATAATATACCGTTTTCGAGAAAGATGAGAGAAAGATTTATAGAACAAGATAGAGATTTTAGAGATGAGATAAATTATTTGATAGAATTAAAGAGAAAGGAAATCTTAGGAAGTGATGAAAATAATGATGAGCAAAACAGTGACGCGTTGACTATGTTGGTTAAAGAAGATATTAATAGTAAATTATATAGTGATATGGATGACACAAAATCAAATAATGAAAACATGATAAGGATAATAAACGAGATGATAAATGGTGGTGTGATTATGACAGTGAATTCTGTTAAATTTTTGATATATCAGATATGTAAACATCCTATGGTTAAGGAAAGGTTTATGCTGAACTTAAAAATATATTTAAAGATGAATTGTATATGAATTATAATTATATCAATAATTTAAAATATGTCGATGCATGTGTTAGAGAGTCATTACGTTTGATACTGACTATACCGTTTTCTTTGAGGTCTATTGAGTATGTGGTATTATTTGTAATATAAGATGGAAAGAGGAACAAGAATTTATTATACATCATAATTATATTCTTCAAGATGCAAAATATTGGAAGAATCTGCAGTTGTTTATACCAGAAAGATTTATTGAAGGTGATGATATTATTAAAAATAGTTTTATACCATTTGGTAGTGGGTTTAGGAAATGTTCTGGGAAAAATCTAGCAACATTTGTTATCAAGTTAGTGTTAATTTTATTCTTAAAGAGATATGATATTGAATTAGTTGATCCTGAGGTTCCTTTAAAGACAAAATTTATACTTGTGAACGAATGTATTGAAATGAAAGTTAGGATTAAATTAAGAAGTAAATAAATTTATTAAATTGATTTATTAAATATTTGATGTTGTAGTTTCAAAGGGTTATATTTAATTTATTTAGTATCGTAGGTTCATTTTAATTCTGAACCAATTAATAATTATCTATAGTATTCTGTGTAATGGTTCTAGAAGCAATAATTATTCTATTAAGTGCTAATACGGGTTCATATTCTATCTTGGATCTTAAATCGATTATTGATGATAGAATTCACCATATGTTTTATCTTAGTTCTTTGAGAATTTTCTATCTTCTACAGAAAAACTGATTATCCACAGTAAAATAAATTACCAACATCACAGTTATAGAATGAAAGTTAGTAAACTAATCATTCGAGTGGGGTAGGCCCTAGCGCCAAGTTGCCTTGGCTCAGATGTTTCAAGAGTATGTTGCGTGCACCATCATGATCCCTGTCAATCTTGAGACCGCACATGTTACACTTGTAAACCTTTGCACTGCCAAGATCGTTTTTGATATACCCGCAATTTCTGCATGTCTTTGATGTGTAATGTTTGTCACAGAGTACCAACAAACGACCAGGATACTCTCATATCTTGTGAATCAAATGTTGTTGGAAACTGAAGTGTAACTATGTCAACATCATTCTCGCAGTCTTGCTATTAATCTTTCTCTTGAGGTTCTTCTTGAAAGTTTTAATTGATTCAGACTCTTGGTTCTCGAGTTCTTTCTTTCTCACCATGTTTTTGGTTTTGAATCTCGGTAACAAAATAGTGTTGTAACCCTCATACAAGTCTTTTGTAATCTTGTGATGGCAATCCCTCACAATACTCTTGATCTTGTCGTGTATCTTCAATATCTTTCTCTTCAACGTGTACCTTTTACGTTTGTTAGATCCGCCTTTGAGCTTGGATCTTACGCTCTGATACTTGTTGTACTTTTTACATAATCAATAAATCCGCACGACGTCTCCTTTGCCGTATTCTATGATCTTTTCACCCGGGTCATATCCTGTCATGAAAGTTCTTACGCCCGGATCAATAGAAACAAAGCCATTATCTTCATGGTAATATTCTTTTATTAGCATACAGACGCAAAAATAAAATCTACCGAGTCTATCTCTTGTGATTCTGACTGCGTTATTTATTTCGGGTAATTCTTCAGATATCTTGATGTGTTTGAGAAACGCATAGTTGCCTTTTTCTTTGATAAAATCTCTCTTTTCTATAGTGATGGTTTGAGACTTGTACTTTTTTGATTTATTTTAATCTCAAACCTAAAATCTTTGTTCTTTTTCCATTTAGCAAAGTTTGTTTTATATGCCGTTACCAATTCTCCTATTGCTCGGCTGCGAATAGCATTAGGTATATCTTTTACCTACGTATTTTCATGTTGATAGTTATTGTTATTAACTACCCTTTTACTTAGAATACCTCTATCTATTGGTGCTCCATCTTTAATTAAATTGAGACATTTGTTGTATGTCCATTGGTATGTACCTATCCACTTTAACAGTGTTTCTTTTTCTCGTAGATTAGGATACATACGAATTTTACGAGTCTTCAATCCCTCATCCTTTACTGATTGTGAAAGTTGTGATGACATATAGTAGATACTCTGTCTAGAAATTGACTGACTAGAAGTTCTTATCGAGAACCAAGAGTTTGACTCTATGTTGTTCAAACTCGTTCTTCTTGGTAGCCATAACTTTCTTGATAATTTTTGCGTACATTCGTTTCAGAACGGACGTACATCCTTATCGTTCCCGACAGAGACGCAACTAGTGTTCCGGCCCGGGTCGGGTGACCCGACGGGTCACGGGTCAGAAATTGCTCTGACCCGGGTCAAGATTCGGGATAGTAAAAAAAATTTTTTACAGCTGAAACATCTGATAAAAATCAGTTGAATTATTGTTTGGCTGATTTGGTTAAGTTAGTGATTTCGTATATAATAAAG